TCTTCTTTGATGGAATCAGACCTGTTCCTGAAAGATTTACTAATATTCTGGAGATTTTTTTCAAGTTCTTCGGCCTATTCCTTAGGGAAATTTTGTTTCCTATTTGCTGCTAAAAAATGGCGTCTGATTCAGTCAATGACTTTGATGGAACTAAATGAAAACGTGATAAATTAATGTCCGATATTTACAGGCTCCCGCTAGACGGCGTACTCGAGCGTTGCGATCGCGAATTTTTTTTTGGTTGAGTAGTTTATAAAATATTGGACAAAGAAAAGTATTGATATTTACTTCACTCAATTAGTAAATTTTTTTATAAACACAAATTATGCTTTCACTAGCTCATTATCCGATCAGGAGAAGCAACACTTCTTGTAATTATTATTATTAACAAACTATGATTAAGCTGGGTATTATTAATAACAAATGTACGATGCCAAACATTTACGCATTTTGTATTTAAAAAATAAATAAAATTACTTATGAATTTATACTTGTTCTACCATGAAACTACTTTCAACCAATACTAATTGGAAAAAGTAAGAAATTCATAGTATATACTTCTCTCTCATAATATTTAAATACTTCATTCTTTGCCGGATCGCCATTAGGCATTTGTATGCAATGCCTTGGCAATTTGAGAAATGAGTTCTCTGCCACTCATGTAATTTTCGGCATTGTATACAAAATCTTTAAAATTACAAAATTCTAAGCACCTCAATTAACACCTCAAACGATGTTTTAAAATTTATCAAACGCTGAGAAATGTGATGCTCAGAATTGTTTTCATTTTATCTTCTGTTTCTGTTTAAAAAGAAATTGTGTTCCTTTTAACTTAAATAAAATTTTTTTTTATTTGCTAGATTTTTGAAAATAAAATTTAATGTCCATTATATCACTTTTCAAGCATCACGGAGGATGCATAATATGCGTCCTACGGGACACGTAATAATTTTTTAATAAGCGTCCCGAGGGATGAAAATTGTGCGTTCCATGGGATACGTCATAACTTTTAAGTGTCCTACCTAGGGGATGCATAACTTCTTTTTTTTTCATAAGCGTCTTATAGGAGGTATATTTTTTAAACGTCTCAGGGGACACAATTTACGCATCCCGTGGGACGCATCAAAACTTTTATGCTGAATCACAAAGGTATAAAGGGTTAGAAATATTTTTTATAATAATAAATAAATAATAATATCACGAAAAATTAAGCTGCTAAGTTATTAATAATTCTTTATCAATAGTTATAACTATACAATTACATATTAATAGTTATTGAAAAATCACAAATGTCATACAAAATTTATTTTAATATTTATTTCCAATCATTAAATGAAAAGAATTTTTTTGTCAGATTTTTCGTTTTTTAATCGTGTTAATTCTGTTAGAAATAGTGGGGAAATTTCATGCTGGATATTGTTACTCACTATTGGATTAATATAAACTGATAGTTATCTGCGGCGGCAGGCGTGTTGGCTGGTGGTCCCTCAATTTCTAAATTCCTCATTATTTCACACCAATAAACAGAATTTTCATGATCTACCATCAATTTAAAAACAAATTTAAAAAAATTAACCTTTCTGCAGATATTTGAAATTTTTATATATTTAAAATATTTATCAAATATAAGAATTTTTTTTTTATATGTGAGAAAGTTAAAGAACTATTACGACTGTGTCTTATTTTGTTGTAGTTCATTTACGTCGTACTAGAGCTGTACAATGGGTTATTGGCAACGACCTGGGAAACATTCCTGAAGATGATCCGAAGACATGCCATCACAATTTTGATCCTCTGTAGAGCACCTCTTCTTCGGTAGCCCGACGACGTGTACGTGATGTCGAGAACTTGACGGTAAAACAGTTTAACGAGGACTAATACCGCACACCCTCTGTCTCTTTGCAGACTGATCCAAGTGGTCACCCACCCGCACACTGACCGCAGCCAGTGATGCTTGACTTCGGTGATCTGCTGGGAACCATGTCTTAACGATTAGTCCACTGCTGGACGTGTATTAATTTGATTTAGTCCCCCTCAAAAATTGGACACCTGCGACACTCCTGTTAACAACTGTAAAGTTTCTGTAGTAAAAGTTTATTCATATTTACTTTTTTTTAGTTTGTCAGCTGTGAAGCTAGAGAGACATTTTCCTTGTTCTTTGACTATAAATATAAAGGAAAATGTTAATTCAATATTTTTTTATTATTTATAATTACAAATATTTGCTAATAAAACAAAGTCTTAAGATTTTGATATTAAAACTGATGAACAAAAATTTAATGTGTATCCGAACAATTTTCAAGCTTAAACAATAAAAAGTAGTAAGCAATGTAAAAAGTCGAAATTAAAGTGAGTACTTAAAATGAAAATTTTCTTTGCAATGCAAATTTTCTTTCTTTGATTTCTTTAGTTATCGTATCGATTTCTTTAGTTATTATATGAAAAACTTGCATAAAATTTAGTAAGTCTAGCTTAAGCATTTATGTAGATATGGTCATCTTTATAAAACACTAATTCGGCTTAACATTTTTTTTTCTGCTTTACAGTTAAAAGGATTCAATAAAATCAAGCAAAATTTTTTTAGCAATTTTTAACTAAAAACAAAATTATCATTTTATAGTTCGTAAAAGAAAATTCATTAAAGTAGTTCTTTGATACTGCGCAAGCGTGGAAAA